CAAAGATTTGTATTTTAAAGAAAACCAGTTCGAAGTGAGCATAGTTTGCTTTTTGGGTTAAAAGAATTTCTTAATATGAAATTCGAGTGGTATGACAATTAGATTAGACTGTGCAGAAATTGAAATCTAAACGCTAATACACACTATAGGCAATGCTGATGTTAACTAATAATTTGAGAACAAAGTATAACAATAATAATAATTTGATGTAATATGAGCTAACCGATCTTTAGATTTAATCACTATTGGTAGCTCGATTTATGGTACTGCTTTTTTCCTCAGTTGGTCAGAACAAAAGTGGCAGACTTGTTACTTGTTCAGATGACAATATCTGGTGAAAATGCTAATTTGGGTCATATTCCAAGATGTAGGCTACAATCTGTGATTGCGAAGTACAGTATCCACACCGGTGCGGTGACTGACTGCCACACACACATACTCCTCAAAACATTAGATTCATCCGCGCTTTAGCTGTGCCGGTGCACAACCCACGCAAGGAAGATAATTCCGCACACAGCTGCAATTGCAGGTTTTCAAACAGAGATGGCGACAAAGAGGCAAAACTTACGGACTGCAGCTTTAACTGCAACTTTTGCCTCAATGAACTCCTAATTTGCTGCTTGTTAATAGTTAGTAAGGTAGCTGTTAAGTGTAGGTATTGGGTGGATTAAGGGATGCAAAATATGGTCATGCAGAATAAGGCATTAACATGTGCTTTAGAAGTACTAATAAACTACCAATACGCTAGTAATATGCATGCTAGTTAACAGTGAGAATTGGTCCCAAAACTAAAGTGTCACTGTTAGTAAATAACAAGGGTCTCTTTCTTTTAAGTAGCAAAGGTTTTCCTTCAGGGTTTCCACAAACTATTTTCAACATTGATAATAATAAATGTTTCTTGCTCACAAAATCAGCATATTAGAATGATTTCTGAAGGATCTTGTGACACTGAAGACTGGAGTAATGATGCTGAAAATTCAACTTTGGTCACAGGAATAAATTACATTATAAAATATATTTAAATAGAAAACAGTTATTTTAAATTAGAGTAATTTCACAGCATTACTAATTTTGCTGTTTGTTTGATCAAATGCATGCAAGCTTGTTGAGCATAAAAGATGTCTTTCAAAAACATTAAAGGTGACATAACACACACAGTTTCGCCCAATCTCATGTTAATCTTGGGTACCTATAGAGTAGTATTGCATCCTTCATTTCTCCAAAGAAAGAGTCTTTAGTTTTATCATATTTAGAGCAGGGTGGCCGATATAAAGCCGATATAATTGTATTTATTTTAATTAATATTTAAGAAATTTGAAATCATTTGAAAATGGATTAAAAAATTAATTTGTAAAATAAACATACTTATACTTTAGATGAAGAAAATTTTTTCCACGAATAAATAAATATTTAATAAAAATATAATTAAAAAGGAAGTAAACTGTAACCAACAGAGCACTCAGTATTCTGGGAAGTTTGTGTGCATTGGGAATCATATTTTTTCAAATAAAGCCAAGGTAACACTCAGTTTACATACAGCACACAGTGGAAACTCAGAGCGCAAAGAGCAGGATGCAGGAAGCAGTGTTAAAATGGAGGCAAGTAGCTTTTTTTTTCCCGGTCACAATGTGGTGGAAAATGATTGGTCATACTTTATTGCTATTAATTCTATTTGGGGTTTTTTTAGGATACTGGTATGTCCGAGTCAATGGAGATAGATCACAACTCGAGTGCTAACTTTGATGAGGTTGGAGAAAGTATTTCACTACACTTGCCTGTTTTGTAAACTGCAAAAAATGCTTTTCTTACTTAGATTTTTTTGTCTTGTTTCCAGCCAAAATATCTAAACATTCTTAAATCAAGATTTTCCAGACAAGTAAAAATGATTGTCTTGTTTTCAGAAAAACAAGTCAAAATTAAGTGAGTTTTTGCTTAGAACAAGCAAAATAATCTGCCAATGGGGTAAGCAAAATAATCTTATTTCAAACAGAAAACAAGATTATTTTGCTTACCCCATTGCCAGATTATTTTGCTTGTTTCAAGAAAAAACTCACTTAATTTTGACTTGTCAGAAGACAATAATTTTTACTTGTCTTGAAAATCTTTCTTGATTTAAGAATGTTTAGATATTTTGGCTGGAAACAAGACAAAAAAATCTAAGTAAGAAAAGCATTTTTTGCAGTGTAGTAGCGATGGTACCTGATGTTTGCTAACCGAAGTCATTGACTAAATGTATTGTCGTCAACCTTCAGCAGATGTTTTCTCCTCCAATGCACTGTGAGTCGAAGGGAAGCCCTTCCCCGGAGAAACCTGCCTCAGAACAGGAGAGCAAAAGCACTGCCAAGGATAAGGGCATGGACCCGGCCTTCCCGCTGGTTTACGAGCAGCCCCGTCACATACAGTACGCCACCCACTTCCCCATTCCTCAGGTGAGCTCGTGCAGGACTGATGGGAAATGATGCTTTCACAACATAGATAGATATAGATGTGTTAATAAGGTCACACTATAGTCTGGAGACCAATTCTCACTATTAAAGCTGCAGTCCGTAACTTATTTTTGGTTAAAAATGATCTGAAATCAATATTTGAGCAAGTACATAACCAGCCAGTGATCAAAACTATCGCCTTACTTTAGCTCGATTCACAACGGTTAGCTCATAATAATGTTTTTTATTTGAGTGGTACAGGTAGGTTTTCGCGGGAAATTCGAGCATGGCTCTGCATCATTATGTCACGCCTGTAAACATAAAGAAGTTGTCCCGGCTAGTAGGCTA